TGTGTACGGTGTGTGTGCACAGTGTGTGTGTACAGTGTGTGTGTACAGTGTGTGTGTGTACAGTGTGTGTGTACAGTGTGTGTGTGTACAGTGTGTGTGTGCACAGTGTGTGTACAGTGTGTGTGTGTACAGTGTGTATGTACAGTGTGTGTGTGTACGGTGTGTGTGTACAGTGTGTGTGTACAGTGTGTGTGTACAGTGTGTGTGTACAGTGTGTATGTACAGTGTGTGTGTGTACGGTGTGTGTGTACGGTGTGTGTGTACGGTGTGTGTGTACGGTGTGTGTGTACGGTGTGTGTGTACGGTGTGTGTGTACGGTGTGTGTGTACGGTGTGTGTACAGTGTGTGTGTACGGTGTGTGTGTACAGTGTGTGTGTACAGTGTGTGTGTACGGTGTGTGTGTACAGTGTGTATGTACAGTGTGTATGTACAGTGTGTGTGTGTACGGTGTGTGTGTACAGTGTGTGTGTGTGCGTGTGTGTGTACAGTGTGTGTGTACAGTGTGTGTGTACGGTGTGTGTGTACAGTGTGTGTGTGTACAGTGTGTGTGTACAGTGTGTGTGTGTACAGTGTGTGTGTACAGTGTGTGTGTACGGTGTGTGTGTACAGTGTGTGTGTGTACAGTGTGTGTGTACAGTGTGTATGTACAGTGTGTGTGTACGGTGTGTGTGTACAGTGTGTATGTACAGTGTGTGTGTACGGTGTGTGTGTACAGTGTGTGTGTGTACGGTGGTGTGTACAGTGTGTGTGTACAGGGTGTGTGTACGGTGTGTGTGTACGGTGTGTGTGTACGGTGTGTGTACGGTGTGTGTGTACGGTGTGTGTGTACGGTGTGTGTGTACAGTGTGTGGTGCCTGGTGGAGGCCATGAACAGTGAACTCTGTGTTGATTAAGAAGTAAAACAAAGACTTGATGTCTTTAAATGTTGCAGCAGTTCTCAGTCACTCAAAGCTGCATCTCTGGATCCTGTTCTGTGTTCTGGACCCGGCAGGTTGGCCCGGTCCGTCTGCGGCTGCGCCAGGTGGGATCAGGCACCAGGTGGGATCAGGCACCAGTGGTTTGTGTGTTGAAATCTGACCTGAAGGTCATTTAGCATCTCATCAAATGCAGATAGAAGAACCTAACTTGGCTCAGATGTTCCCAGAAACTGGCGTTTTAAAAAAGTAACGTTAGCCAATGAAAGTTTCAACATGACCGCCATGGTCATAAAAGAAAATTTATTGTAACACAGAATTTGCCAATTATTATCACTACTGAGTACTTATGGAGTGAAGACATAACTTTAAACATAAAAATCATATTGACCAATACCTTTTTGGTTTTTCAAAATGGGCATCAAGGTTGTTATGGAAAATAAATTTCTGCCCTAAAAAACACAAATGGGGAAATGTGTTTGGTGTGAAATCATAGCTTCTGTATTTTGAATTTCATGTTCTTGTTTTTTTTCTGTTGAACAAGCTTGTCATGTTGGATTTGAGTTTTTTCACCCACATGCAGGTTCAGACATTAGGCTGGAAGATCTTTGATTCAATGTTTTATTCAGTTATTATTGAAAATATTGATCCTGATTTGCCCTCTGGGATCGGAAGCGGCTGGCCGCTCAGGTGCTGCTTGGAGAGGGGAGAGGTCAACAGGAACCGGATTGAGGGGATCTTGACAGGGAAATGGAGAGAATGGCTGACAGTTCATCTGATGGAGGATTGCCCAGGGAGGAGATAGAATCCATTAGGTGCAAAGGCTCGGGCTCCGCTCGGGCGGAAGCGTTCAGTCCGGTTGGCAATCGTTGATTTGCGTTTGGATGGGCGTGGTTCCTAGCTTGGTCCAAACAGTGAATCAAAATCTGTGAGAAAACAGAAGATTGACTTAGATAAACATGAAGCTTAACTGTTAGAATATGCTCTCATCTTAACTTGTCTTTGAGTTATTTTGTGTTACGTGTTCATGTTTACTAGTTGACTTTGTAAGGTACAGCTTTAAGTTCTATATTCTGACACTGTTTATGTGCATGTTGTACTGTTGTTGTTCACTGGGGGCAGTGAGAGCGAGTTCTTATTTATAGGCAGCACTGTTCTGGAAAGAATCAGAAGAAGACCTGAACGTTTGCAGTAAAAGAACAAAGCTATGGAAGAAAAGAAGTGTGGTTCACTGTGAATATGAGTGCAGAACAAGAAAACCCAACATTGACCAACCAGTGGGACCATCGAGCGATGAATGGCTGCTTAACAATCCTGCAGCTGGTTGCAGAAATCCGCTTCAGGTGCGTCAGCCTGCCAGCACGCTCCCACGAAGATCGTCTATTGGAGGAGCACTCACACCAGCTTGAATCCTAACAAAGTTGTTCAGCACAGCTAATGAAAGAGTTAGCTTCCCTGACCATGAAACTCTGCACAAGGACATGAGCAGAAGCTAATGCTAACCATGATGATGACGTAACCATTACAAGTGTTGTTCATTTCCACCTCCTTCCTGTTGAGAACTGGACTGAAACTCACTCAACACACAGAATCTGTTTCTGATTTGAATTCATGTTGAGTTTTCAAATCAACAAGGCAACATCAACTGAACGCGAGAAAACCAAACCGGATCCCACAAGAGGAACATCTGTGACACACTTCCATCTCCTCATGGTCCTGTGCACCCGCTATGCATCCTGGGAAAAACAATAGAAAGGAACTAATTGCTACATTATTATTAAAGTTTTTCAAGTTATTAAAACGAGAAACGTTTTATGACAACAATTAGATTCAAATGACGGTATGACCAGAGTCAGAGTCTGGTCCACTTGCCAGCAATAAGTTGGGCTCGTTCCCGGTGAGGTTGGACTCCATCAGGGCTTTTGTCACCGATTCTGTTCATCACTTCATGGACAGAATCTGCAGAGCAGCCGAGGCGTTGAGGGGATCCGTTTTGGTGGCCTCAGGATCCATCTCTGCTTCTTGCGGACGATGTGGTTCTGTTGGCTCCATCGGGTCGTGACCCGCAGCTCTCGCCGGAGCGGTTCGCCGCCGAGTGCGAAGCGGCCGGGATGAGGATCGGTGGCTCCGACGCCGCGGTCTGGAGCCGGAAAAGGGTGGAGAGCTTCTCTACCCGGGGGGATGTCCTGCCCCAAGTGGAGCAGTTCAAGTATCTCTGGGTTCACTAATGGGGGAAGAAGGGAACGGGAGATCGACAGGCGGATTGGAGCAGCGTCTGCAGGGAACTGGACCGGCCGTCATGGTGGAGAGAGCTGAGCCAGAAAGCGAAGCTCTCGATTGACCGGTCGATTTACGTTCCCACCCTCATCTCTGGTCAGGAGCTTTGGGTCACGACTGAAAGAACGAGATCTGGGATACATCGGCTGAAACGGGTTTCCTCTGTGGGAGCCGGGTTTCCTGAGAGAGAAGCTCAGAGTAGAGCTGCTGCCCTCCACATGGAGAGGATTCAGTTGAGACATCTGGTCAGGATGGAGGCTCCCTGTGAGGGGTTCAGGTCCCACCGGGAGGAGAGGAAGACCAGGACACGCCAGAGGAACAAGAGGCTGGGAAAGGGAAGCCTGGGCCTCCGTTCTTAGGCTGCTGACCCCGCGACCCAGATAAATGACAGAAAATGGATGGATGGCGTCTTGAAAAATGACAGTCATCCTGGGAAATATCAATCAATCATGTTTATTTTGAGTTACACAATTTAGCTTCCAAGGAGTTAAAATTGCTTTACTTCATAAACGCAAACATAAAAAAACATAAGACAACCGACAGCTGAGAAACCAGTGACAAATATTACATGTTGATCATCAATACACATTGATCAATGTTCCATTTATTGTTTTTCAAGAGCAACTTGACCAGCTGGGTTTTAGTCTGGGTTTGAAGGATCTCAGGGTTTCGGCTGTTTTTCAGTTTTCTGGATGTTTGTTCCAGATTGTGGTGCATAGAAGTTGCATGCTGCTCCTCCATGAACAACAGCATGAAAATGTTCATACATGTACACATGAATAATTTTTACAGTAAATGCTGATCAATCATGATATTGATGCTGCAGGGTCCAGAGACAGAACCAGTCAGGTGTTAGTCCTGAACACGTTTCATTTCTGGTGGTTTTGAAGAAAGCTGGGACCGTGTGGACAGGTGGACCGTGTGGACAGGTGGGTCCTGCAGGGGCCTTGGGTTCGGCTAGTCGGTTCTCTTTGACCGTCAGAAAAGAACCAGGAGGTTCTGGATCCACCGGTTCAACGAAAACAGCGCCACCTTGCAGTTACTGTCCGCTTAGTGGTCACAGAAGGTACTGCAGCTGCAGCGCCGCTCCGCACGGCCGCTCACTGCGCACGCGCAATGAGATGAATGGCCGCTGCACCTGTCAGTCCACCAGGATGTGTGGCGGACAAATCCTCGGCCGTTAATCCGAGCTCGGTTCGGTCATCGGAGGAGGCTCCCACAGTGGCATGCTGAGCGGACCGGAGCGCTGCGTCTGACCGTCCGGACCCAGCCTGCCCCGGGGCCGCCCGCCTCCTCAGCCCGCCTGCAGAGCCTCAGACCCCCGCTGCTGCCGAGCTGAGGCTCCGTGAAGCTCCGTGAAGCTCCGGGCGCGTCCATCCTGACTGCAATGGGATGCTGCGGGAGCGCGGAGGTAAGCAGGTCCGGCCCGGCACGGCTCGGCCCGGTCCGGTCCGGTCCGGTGTGTGTTCTACTTTCTGGGCTAACACTGTAACGGGATGGAGCCTGGTTCTGGAGCAGAAAGGCCGATCCGAGCTGGGATTACGGCCAGCAGCTCCTTAATCCAATTACAGCATCTCGGTTACCGGGCCGCTGCTGGTCAACAACAGGCCCAGCCGAACCTCCGCAGGGTTCGGGTTTATGGAGGAACCGAGCTGGCCCGGCCCGGCCCGGTCCCGCAGGCCCCGCTCGGCGCTCACTGTGTTTGTGTCTTTCAGCGGACAAAGAGAGAATGGAGACCGCTGGAGGACCGGAGCTGCACAGACCTGCCTTGGTTCCTGCTCTTCACCGTCTTCTGCGTCGGCATGGTAACCACACACAGACCATAATACTTCCACCGACCTGTGATACAGCATCACCACTGTAGAACACTGTGGTACTCTGTAGTACTGTAGTACTGTGGTACTCTGTAGTACTCTGTAGTACTCTGTAGAACACTGTAGTACTCTGTAGTACTGTAGTACTCTGTAGAACACTGTAGTACTCTGTAGAACACTGTAGTACTCCGTAGTACTGTAGTACTGTGGTACTCTGTAGTACTCTGTAGTACTCTGTAGAACACTGTAGTACTCTGTAGTACTGTAGTACACTGTAGAACACTGTAGTACTCTGTGGTACTCTGTAGTACTCTGTAGTACACTGTGGTACTCTGTAGTACACTGTAGTACTCTGTACTACACTGTAGAACACTGTAGTACTCTGTAGTACACTGTAGAACACTGTAGTACTCTGTGGTACTCTGTTGTACTCTGTAGTACTCTGTGATACTCTGTAGTACACTGTAGTACTCTGTAGTACACTGTAGAACACTGTAGTACTCTGTGGTACTCTGTAGTACTCTGTAGTACACTGTGGTACTCTGTAGTACACTGTAGTACTCTGTACTACACTGTAGAACACTGTAGTACTCTGTAGTACACTGTAAGAACACTGTAGTACTCTGTGGTACTCTGTTGTACTCTGTAGTACTCTGTGATACTCTGTAGTACACTGTAGTACTCTGTAGTACACTGTAGTACACTGTAGTACTCTGTGGTACTCTGTAGTACTCTGTAGTACACTGTGGTACTCTGTAGTACACTGTAGTACTCTGTAGTACACTGTAGTACTCTGTAGTACACTGTTGTACTCTGTAGTACTCTGTAGTACACTTTAGTACTCTGTAGTACACTGTAGAACACTGTAGTACTCTGTAGTACTCTGTAGTACACTGTAGAACACTGTAGTACTCTGTGGTACTCTGTAGTACTCTGTAGTACTCTGTGGTACTCTGTAGTACACTGTAGTACTCTGTAGTACACTGTAGTACTCTGTAGTACACTGTAGTACTCTGTAGTACACTGTAGTACTCTGTAGTACACTGTAGTACTCTGTAGTACACTGTAGTACTCTGTAGTACACTGTAGTACTCTGTAGTACACTGTAGTACTCTGTAGTACACTGTAGTACTCTGTAGTACACTGTAGTACTCTGTAGTACACTGTAGTACTCTGTAGTACACTGTAGTACTCTGTAGTACACTTTAGTACTCTAAATACTTGTGCAGTTCTGCAGCTTTCCTGTAAGTTGACCACCAGAACCCAGTGGGACCAGAACCTCTAGAAACATTTTCATACAGTGTTGATGGTTCTGCACATTTCCTGCTTCACATGGAGGCGGAGCTTCAGGTTCACATGTGTCTACCTGAGGCTCTTCCAGGTGTGTTGCTATGGAAGCAGCTTCATGGGCAGCACTGATGCTGCATTCAGGGACAGCAGGGAACTCGGGCTTTCGCTGATTTTTAACACCTGAAGCAGAATCTGTGTTTACCATAATCAGTCCCCAGAGCAGAACTTTACTGCGTCCAGATGGTTTCTGATTGGCTCACAGCTCCTCCCACTGAGCTCTGATTGGCTGGAGGTTAGATCATTCCAGTCAGTATTGATGTTTGGTTCACATCCATCAGATGGAGTGATGGAGTAATCTGATGAGGTTCTGATAAAGTTCTGATGAGTTTCTGATGGTGTTCTGCAGGGCAGCATCTGTGGCTTCACCATCGCCACTGGAGGCGCCGCTCGCCTGGTCTTCGGCTACGACAGCTACGGCAACACCTGCGGCCGGCGTAACGAGCGGATCGAAGGCGTGCAGCTGAGCGGGCTTGACCACACCGACAGGAAGTGAGTGTTCACTGAGCAGAACCGGAACCAGAACCAGGAGTTCTGGATGGTCTGAGGTACCATCGGTTCTGTGATGATCAAACGTTCTGCTCAGTTCCCTGAAGGTCCAACCAGACTTTGGCTAGACCAAACAATCACCCTCCAACATCGTGGTTCACAACTCCAAAGCGGTTCTGATCTGCTGAGTCTGGTTCTGTCCATCCTGGTTCTGTTTTACTCCAAGCTCCGGTATTCATGCGACGAGGCTTTAAACACGCTAATCAAGACCTGACCTTCGTCTGAGGGCTTCTTGTTTCCAAACAACAGGTTTTCTCTTTCAACCCTTCCAAGCTACCATCTTGGTTCAGGGTCACGTCCTTTGACCATTACGCTATTAATTGAGGTCTGTAAAGTCTGAGATAGAGCTCTGGGGTTTCTGATAATTTCTTTAACCTCTGATCTTGACGTCTCAGATGTTTTCCAATGAGAATACTTCCTGCACTAGCATAGTTAGCTACCAGCACTAGTATATGTAGCTTCCTGCACTAGCATAGTTATCTACCAGCACTAGCATATGTAGCTTCCTGCACTAGCATAGTTAGCTACCAGCACTAGCATAGTTATCTACCATTAGTAGCATAGTTAGCTACCAGCACTAGCATAGTTAGCTACCAGCACTAGTATATGTAGCTTCCTGCACTAGCATAGTTATCTACCAGCACTAGCATATGTAGCTTCCTGCATTAGCATAGTTAGCTACCAGCACTAGCATAGTTATCTACCATTAATAGTATAGTTAGCTACCAGCACTAGCATAGTTAGCTACCAGCACTAGCATAGTTAGCTACCAGCACTAGCATATGTAGCTTCCTGCAGTAGCATATGTAGCTTCCTGCACTAGCATAGTTATCTACCATTAGTAGCATAGTTAGCTACCAGCACTAGCATAGTTATCTACCATTAGTAGGATAGTTAGCTACCAGCACTAGCATAGTTATCTACCATTAGTAGCATAGTTAGCTACCATTAGTAGCATAGTTGGCTACCAGCACTAGCATATGTAGCTTCCTGCACTAGCATAGTTATCTACCAGCACTAGCATAGTTAGCTACCAGCACTAGCATAGTTTGCTACCAGTACTAGCATAGTTAGCTACCAGCACTAGCATAGTTAGCTACCGGCACTAGCATAGTTAGCTACCAGCACTAGCATAGTTAGCTACCAGCACTAGCATAGTTTGCTACCAGTACTAGCATAGTTAGCTACCAGCACTAGCACAGTTTGCTACCAGTACTAGCATAGTTAGCTACCAGCACTAGCATAGTTTGCTACCAGTACTAGCATAGTTAGCTACCAGCACTAGCATAGTTAGCTACCAGCACTAGCATAGTTTTGCTGCCAGTACTAGCATAGTTAGCTACCAGCACTAGCATAGTTAGCTAACAGCACTAGCATAGTTAGCTACCAGCACTAGCATAGTTTGCTACCTGGCACTAGCATAGTTAGCTAACAGCACTAGCATAGTTAGCTACCAGCACTAGCATAGTTAGCTACCAGCACTAGCATAGTTTGCTACCGGCACTAGCATAGTTAGCTACCAGCACTAGCATAGTTAGACACCAGCACTAGCATAGTTTGCTACCCGTACTAGCATAGTTAGCTACCAGCACTAGCATAGTTAGCTACCAGCACTAGCATAGTTTGCTACCAGTACTAGCATAGTTAGCTACCAGCACTAGCATAGTTAGCTACCAGCACTAGCACAGTTAGCTACCAGCACTAGCATAGTTTGCTACAGTACTAGCATAGTTAGCTACCAGCACTAGCATAGTTAGCTACCAGCACTAGCATAGTTTGCTACCAGTACTAGCATAGTTAGCTACCAGTACTAGCATAGTTAGCTACCAGCACTAGCATAGTTAGCTACCCAGCACTAGCATATGTAGCTTCCTGCACTAGCATATGTAGCTTCCTGCACTAGCATAGTTAGCTACCAGCACTAGCATAGTTAGCTACCAATCACTAGCATAGTTAGCTACCTACACTGCTCCAGCACATGTAGCTTCCTGCACTAGCATATGTAGCTTCCTGCACTAGCATATGTAGCTTCCTGCACTAGCATAGTTAGCTACTAGCACTAGCATAGTTAGCTACCAGCACTAGCATAGTTAGCTACCAGCACTAGCATAGTTAGCTACCAGCACTAGCATAGTTAGCTACTTCTCTGTCTGAGCTGCTCCAGATGCTGATGCAGGTTTTCTTCCCTTGGCTTCTATCCACACAATGAAATGAGCACATAAAGCATTTTGGGTTCTTTCTTCAAGTTTAGAATTTTTAGCCAAATTATTTTCTTTGCTTTTCTGTCGGAAGGCGATAAAACTGCAGCTTTTGTTTTGGGAGCCGTTCAAGACACACCTGCTGCCACAAACTAAACTTGCTGTGATTATTAGCAGCAACTTGACACTTCCCAGAGGCAAGTTGCTCTCTATAACAGGTTAATGTGCGGTTCGGTTCGGTCTGGTCCAGTGGGTCTGCAGCCCAGCAGCTGCTGTCATTTCTCTGCTGATTTGATCACACCGGGATCTGATGGACTAAATAAACCCAGATATTTTGTCTTATAATTCAATTTTGTTGGCCCAATCATAATGATAGACTCAGATCATGAACTTTATTATTTTTGAAATGAAAAACCAAATGGACACCAAGCTGATATTCTGTAGTTCTGGTGTTTTATGCTGTCGGCGCTAAACTGCAGCTCAGACCTCTGACCAGCAAAACACCCCCCAAATTCCAGTGAAATATTGCAACTGGCGCCGGAGGTCCGACCCGTCACGGGTTCCCCAGTGAGACTCCCAGTCAGGCGAATAGTGTCAGCGTAGTGACTTACTGTGTAATCTGGTGCTGTAAAGCTACGTAGTAACAATGTAATAAAGTAGTACTACAGTATAACAATGTTGCTGTAATATCACAGTATTACAGTGATATAATTGTAATACTGTGATATTATTATAGTATTACCATAGTATTTCTGTGATACTATAGTATTACTTCAGCTTTGTGACTATAGCTTCAGTGCTGTAGCTCCTTCTGGCACTTGAACACACGGTGCATTCAAGGTCCTGTGGGAGAGTTTTATGCTGACAGATGGTGAAAGCTGTGACTCATCAGCAGAGCTGCTTATACACACACACACACAATCACACACACACACACACACACACACCACACCACACACACACACACACACCACACACACACACACACACACACACACACACACACAGGATTTATTTTTACCTGCAGCTCCACCTGCAGGAGGCCGATCAGCTCAGGCCGACTTCCTGAGACGTTCAGGATGATGGATCTGTTGGACAGACACAGCAGAAACAGCCTGAGGACTGGAAGGACGTCTGAACTGAGGTCCAATTCTAGACCGGGTCGCTGTGGTTCTGTCTGGTTCTGATTATCACTCTCAGTTTTACATTTCTTTCAATTTCTTTGTCTCTTTGTTTCCATGTCCCATTAGTCCCACATCCACATTCTACTGGTTCTGTTGGTTCTGGTCCAACTGGTCAGAGAGGGTCACCTATGGGGCGATGTGTTCTCACCTGACTCTCTGCTGCCCCCTGCAGGTTTGTCTTCTTCCTGGATCCCTGCAACATCGACATTGTCCAAAGGAAAATTAAGTCCATGGCGTTGTGTGTGTCCCTGTGTCCCCCCGAGGAACTGAAGACCCACCAGGACCTGAAGAGGTTCGCCATGACTAATGGTGAGCCCACCTGGCCACGCCCACCTGGCCACGCCCACCTAACCCACCTGGGCTTCACCTCTGCACTCTGTGCTGAGGGAAGATAATGATGATGATGATAATGATGAAGGCGATGAAGATGAGCTCGTCCTCCATGTTTGCAGGTTCGGAGCTCTGCTCCTATGAGCTGCCGGCTCATCGTTACCCGGCGCTACCGGAGCGATTCTCCAGGTGTCCCAAGCTTCCCGTCCCCCACAGGTAGGTGGCGCTTTCCGCCATCTGGCCCTGATCTCTGATATCTGACCTCTGCCCTCTGACCTGTGTGTCCCAGCAAGCCGCTGCCGCTCTTCAACCGCTGCACGCCGGTGGATATGTCGTGCTATGCCAGGTTCGCCGAGGCGGTGGTGACCTTCGTAGGCGACAGCAGCGTCCTGCATCGGCTCATCGCTGGCGTCGCTGCCAGCAAAGAGATCATCGTCGGACTCTGTGTCCTCGCCTTAGGTGAACGCCGGCGTCCATGATGTCACTTCCTCCTTGCTGTGACGTCAGTTCCTGTAGCCTGACTGCTGTGTTCTGTCTTCCAGCGCTGTCCATGGTCCTCATGGTGATCATCCGCTACATCTCGGCCGTGCTGGTCTGGATCCTCACCTCGCTGGTGGTGCTGGGCTCCCTGGGTGAGGTCATTTCCTCTGTGCTGTGGGACAGGTGAGCTCCCTTCCTGTGTGACGTTGTGTTTGTGTCTCAGCGGGGACCAGCGTCCTCTGGTGGCTCTACATCGACCACCGGCTGTATGCCAACGACACATCCTCCAGGGACCCCAGGGAGGCACCAGAGGGGCGTCGTGACAGCGGCCAGGCGCTGCTGGTCTACGCCGCCGCCGCCACCATCTTCACCGTATGTACCAAATCAGAACCAGAAAACGCAGAGCCGGTGCTGCAGTTCTGAATGTGTGTGTGTGTGTGTGTGTACAGATCATCCTGCTGCTGCTGATGCTCTTCATGCGGAAGCGCGTGGCGCTCACCATCGCTCTGTTCCACGTCGCAGGAAAAGTCTTCATCCACCTGCCGCTGCTCACCCTGCAGCCCTTCATCACCTTCCTCGCCCTGCTCCTCTTCTGGGTTTACTGGATCCTGGTGCTGCTCTTCCTGGGAACCACCGGTTGGTCCTCACACACTTCTGCACACAAACTTCATTTCTTTTAGTGATGGGTTCAGCAACACCGATGCGTTAAGCCCTCAGACAAACCCCGCGTTGGAGCGTGTTGCTTTCAGCGAGTCACATGACCGATACAGGAAGTGTCTGGAAATGACACTGAGGCGCCAAACTGTGTTTATAAGCAAGCAAATCTGTAACAGGATGCATTTGCCAAAAGGATTCTTGGTCTTTTACAGCGTCAATATGGAGCCTGAAGCCAAACGAAAGGTTTGGTCGTTTGGAGCCATTTTGATCCACATCAGAAAATAAGCTCTTGGTTTTCACTTGGTTGTTGTTTCATCCGGTTCTTTCCAGTTTCTACTGGATCTATCTGAATCCTAATTCATCTGAAATTGATTCTTAGTTTATATTCATATCATGTCCTGCAGGTTAAGCTGCATATGTTTGACAGAACTGTTGATTTATTAAATCCACCTCCTCAGTGCTGAGGCATCATAGAGCATCAGGAGGAATCCCAGATACACCTGGATAAACTCAGGTATTCTACAAATTAATGAGCCAATGAAGCTTCAGACTGCATCACCATGGAGACCAGGTGTCTCGTCTCCAGAAGGAGAAACAGCTCAGGGTCCATCAGTCGATATCCTGAGTTAAAACTTCCACCAAAGTAAAATGTTGGTTTTGTGGCGCAGCTGCATCTTATTTTGAAGGGATAGGTAACCGTTACTATAGCGACCAGAGTCAGATAGCGTGAGGTCAGAGGTCGAGAGGAGATGTGAGTTTTAGGTCTGGTTGGTTTAAGGATCCTTGGCCGATTTCCCAAACCTCTGTGACCTCAGAGCCGATAAAAGTCCAAGAGGTTCGGTCGGTTTGAGAGTCCAGGAGCAACACGGAACCAGAACCGGTTCCTCTGAACGTCCCGGTTCCACTGAACGTCCCGGTTCCACTGAACGTCCCGGTTCCTCTGAACGTCCCGGTTCCTCTGAACGTCCCGGTTCCTCTGAACGTCCCGGTTCCACTGAACCCGGTTCCACTGAACGTCCCGGTTCCTGAACGTCCCGGTTCCACTGAACGTCCCGGTTCCACTGAACGTCCCGGTTCCACTGAACGTCCCGGTTCCTCTGAACGTCCCGGTTCCACTGAACGTCCCGGTTCCACTGAACGTCCCGGTTCCTCTGAACGTCCCGGTTCCACTGAACGTCCCGGTTCCACTGAACGTCCCGGTTCCACTGAACGTCCCGGTTCCTCTGAACGTCCCGGTTCCACTGAACGTCCCGTTCCACTGAACGTCCCGGTTCCTCTGAACGTCCCGGTTCCTCTGAATGTCCCGGTTCCTCTGAACGTCCCGGTTCCTCTGAACGTTCCGGTTCCACTGAACGGGTTCCACTGAACGGGTTCCACTGAACGGGTTCCACTGAACGGGTTCCACTGAACGGGTTCCTCTGAACGTCCCGGTTCCTCTGAACGTCCGGGTTCCTCTGAACGTCCCGGTTCCTCTGAACGTTCCGGTTCCACTGAACGGGTTCCACTGAACGGGTTCCACTGAACGGGTTCCTCTGAACGTCCCGGTTCCTCTGAACGTCCGGGTTACTCTGAACGTCCCGTTCCTCTGAACGTTCCGGTTCCACTGAACGGGTTCCACTGAACGGGTTCCACTGAACGGGTTCCTCTGAACGTCCCGGTTCCTCTGAATGTCCCGGTTCCACTGAACGTCCCGGTTCCACTGAACGTCCTGGTTCCACTGAACGTCCCGGTTCCACTGAACGTCCTGGTTCCACTGAACGTCCGGGTTCCTCTGAACCAACATCCCACAGTGAATTCAGAATAATCAAAGACGATGACGATGTAGAAACAGTAGTGATAGTTTGTGGATCATTTTCAGAAATAAAAGACAAAACCAAAACAAAAGCCGTTTGATAAAAGGAGCATCTGCTCTATTTGCAGTTATGCTTTTTTGTAGTTAACATTTTTAACTGAATAAACATAACCACATATAATAAACATATATAAAGACGACCTTTACATATAGTGATAAACATTTCCACATATCACCGCCGACGCCCACCGGACTCTCAGTTGCCATGTCAATTGTTTGGGATCCCCTCTGTTCCCAGACAGGGAAATCCCCACAGGCTGCTAATCAGGCCACGACAATGTTGAATATACCTGATTTTAGATTGAGCATATTCAGCACACCACAACGTAACACACCACACTGCAGGGCGGTGTGTAAGATTGTCGCAAAGTGAAAAAAAAAGCCACAGCAAAATTGCAAAGTTTTGACCGGTCTGGGGTTTTGACCGGTCCCCAGTCCCCAGTCCCCGGTCCCCAGTGGGAGGATGGGGACCACTGGACGAGGTCATCAAATCAGTCTGTCAACTACGGTGCCTGCAGGGACTTTTAGTGATGGTCAAATGAGGCTCCATGACACCTCATTTGACCATCACTAACTTCTTTAGCCTAACCCTAAACTTTTCCTAAACTTCAAGTTGATAGTTAATCCTACCTTAAACTTAATTCACACCTTAGTTACTGACCTAAACCACACAGGATATTTTCCTTTGGTTGTTCTTGAGAAAATGTCCTCACAACCACAGATGTCCTCACAGTGTTGGTAATCAGGAGAAAGTCCTCACGACAATAGCTAAACAAGTATACATACTCAGGTTTATGCTACATTCAAGGCAGCAAATTACTTGCATATATTAACATAAAACAGTAGAATAGAAGAAATGGACATGAAGAAAAATAAAAAATCAACTAAATTAAAGATCCAAGCTCGCTGTGTTTCCATCAATGCTTTTCTAACGTGGATAATAAAGTATCATATTAGAAACTGATGATGAGCTGATGAGAGCAAAATAACTCACTTTCACAAAAATGTTTTTCTGCTCGGTTTAGGGAATCTGGACTTTTTTCTGAAAGAGTTAAAGGTGAGACAGAAAAAATGTTTGCTGAAAAGTTGCTGACATAGCTAACCACTATATAGTGAAATACATTAAGAGATGCATCTGCTCCACGCTAGATAGCTACCTCTACTTCCTGTTTATTGCAGCCATGCGCAGTGCCCATATGACGAAGTTACAGTTGTAGACTGAAATTGATTGGTCCAAACTAGTACATGGAGACATGCCTATTTTGTATTTTGCTATTTTTCTTTCTTTTTGTGGCATTTTAAATGTTAAAATGTGCATGACAGTGGTATGTAAAATGGCTACATATTACAATAATGAAATGTGAGCGATCTGGGTCATATTTACCCACTGTGTGAACTTAGACTCCGCCCCGTGCCTGCTGATCCTCAGAGGGATGCCCCTGCTGGCCAGAACAGCAGCTAAGCGGTTTGTTGTGGTGCTGTGCAGGGAATCCGGAGCAGAACGAGAGAGACGGGCTTGACGGAGTTCAGGCTGACGGGCTCCCTGCAGTACCTGACCTGGTACCACGCTGTGGGTCTGGTCTGGATCAGCGAGTTCATCCTGGCCTGCCAGCAGATGACCGTGGCTGGCGCTGTTGTCACCTACTACTTCACCAGGTGAGTGTGGCGGCTCGGCTCGCCTGCAACTCTGGGTCCACATGTCAATCAGAGCCTTCCGCCTGCAGGGATAAGAACCGGTTGCCAGTGACGCCCATCTTGTCGTCGGTTCTGAGGCTGGTCCGGTACCACCTGGGAACCGTTGCTAAGGGGTCCTTCATCATCACATTAGTGAAGATCCCCCGCCTTGTCCTGATGTACGTCCACAACCAGCTGAAAGGACGTGTACGTACTCCGCTTCACCGCCACCGGTTTGAGCTCAGCGGCTTGGCGCTGTAACTGTGTCCTGTTGTCTCCAGGAGAACATGTGCGCACGCTGCCTGCTGAAGTCCTGCATCTGCTGCCTGTGGTGTTTGGAGAGTGCCTCAACTACCTGAACCAGGTAATGGACAGCCGCGCCCCCTCCCGCAGGTTCTGGCAACGCCACCCTCACTGCCATTTTTTGTTTCCCAGAATGCATATGCAGCCACTGCCATCAACAGCACCAGTTTCTGCACATCGGCCCGGGACGCTTTTGTCATCCTGGTAGAGAACGCGCTGCGGGTCGCCACCATCAACGCCGTGGGAGACTTTGTGCTCTTCCTGGGGAAGGTGAGGGGTTTGGTCTGAATGGGTCAGAAGCGTATCCTGGAGGGTCAGATTCCCGCATGTTTCAGTTCTCTCCCTGGAGGAATTAAAACCTCCTCTGCAGGTTAATGTTCCTCTAATGAGCCATCATTGGATCCAACTGCGTTAAACCAGGGATCGAACTAAAACATGCAGGATGCCGGCCCTTCATAACCCACTTTGCTCACCACCGCCTTACAGAGATAAGGTGTCCATGCAACCCTGCAACTCGGATGTTCACAACAACAGCTTTGCTTCAGGATGTCATGTCTCCTCAGGTCCTGATAATGACATGCACAGCATTCGCCGGCGTCCTGCTCCTCAACTACCAGCGGGACTACGCCGAGTGGCTGCTGCCGCTCATCATCGTCTGCCTCTTCTCCTTCTTGGTGGCCCACTGCTTCCTGTCCATCTTCGAGATTGTGGTGGACGTCTTGTTCCTGTGCTTCGCCATCGACACCAAGTACAACGACGGCACCCCTGGGAAGGAGTTCTTCATGGACAAAGCTCTGATGGTGAGCTTAGCCACATCTAGCTAAGCTCCCGCTAGGTAGAAGAAAACATGGCATTTTAGAAATGGTTTGGGGATATTTCATTGACCTTAGAGGCTTCAAAGAGAAAGAAAAAACCCACAACATCCATGCTTACCGGGCTATCATTGACCAAAACGGGCTGAGGTTTTATAGGCTGAACTCCATGGTTAGCTTTAAGCTACCACATACCCAGCCTGCTCCTTTCAGAACTGATATCAACACCATAAGAATACAAAAAAAAATCCCATGAAATAATTATCTTCAGCTATTTGTATTGCCCAGCCATCAGAACTCTACTGGACGGGATAATCTTAGAGCAATGTCGCTAACTAACCAGGATTTAGCTCCTCGGCTAGTGGCTGCAGAGGGTTTGGCTATCAGCTTGCAGGCTCTGAGTCTCCAGCTCCACGTCAGGCTAGCGATGGCATAGCGGTGGTCGGTGGCGTTTGGCTAGCGGTCTGATGTTGGGGAATCTACAACCGCAAGGTTCTTTCTACAGAGACTAAATAAACCTAGATTCAGGTTTATTCCTTCCTCCAATCAAATTGAACTAAGTGTGATATCACAGTCAGTGGCGGAGCCAGAGGGGTGGCCGGGGTGGCACTTGCCACCCCCAACAGAGCCCTTGCCCCCCCTAGTGCCACCCCACTGGAAATGGTCATTTTAAAATATAATACTGATGAGATCGGCAAAGATTTGCCAGGAAAACTGTAATTTCCGACTGTCCCTGAAGGCAGCCCGATGCCTGACGCTGTTCATTGGTTAAACTGACATGTTGGTTCCTGCTTGATCCAAAACACATCAACGGCTTTAGAGTTACACCGTCAGGAGTTCTGCAGGTATTTCCAACATTTTACCGCTCAGCAGTAACCGCTGTTACCTTCCTAATGAGAGGCGGCTCTTGTCATACATTTCTAAAAAGAAAAAAAGAAATGGTTGTGCACCGCTGCATAGTGCCTCGTTTATTATATTAGCCATGCTAGTGCTGGTAGATCGTGTTTTAGACAGATTATTTTAACATATGTTTTAGTGACATGCTGCCCTCTAATGTTTTATTTCTCCCAGCTCTTGCTTGAAATGTGTGGTAAGAATATGTGAAAAACCATTAAGTTTTATAATGACTGAAATGTAAGTAGGCTATGTCATATGAAAGTGTAACACTGTAATGTTAGACAAATCTGTGTTACCAGAAACTGAGAGGTCGTGGGTGGAGAAAAAGCAGGACAATGAGCGGGAATAGCTTAGCGGTCCAGACTTTATTCAACCATCTTGCCAGAACACAAAATAAAAACCAAAAAAACCCGAGAACCTCCAGAGGAGGGGCCAGCCAGAAAACAACATAGTAACTCCTCTTAAAGGCGCAGTACAACTCCTTAACATCTTTAGTAAACAACTGATCTTCTATAGAACCCTATTAAATGAAAAGTAAAAATAAATCATCTTACAAAAGCTTTGAATTATAACCTAACTAGTTATATTAATTAATTTTGAACGAAAGGAAACAAATATTTTTTCCTTTCGTTCCATGGAACGGTCCGTTTGTATATGGACCCTCTGATAAAGCCTTGCTCACCCTTTGGCCCCCCCTTGAAAAAAAGTCTAGCTCCGCCACTGATCACAGAGTGTCCTCCCTGTCCCTGCAGTGCATTGTGGGACCAGTAGTTGTATTAACAATTTATTATCAGAACAAGTCACTGAACCAGAACATCAAGAGATCAAACAACTAAGGCTTCTTTGACATCAGCACTCCCATTGGTTCCCAGCAATAAGCCACGCCCCTTTGATGTTTTTATCTCATCAGGAACGGAAAGGTCTGGTTTGAGTCAGGTTTTATATTTTTGAGTTTCCTACTTTGTTCTGTAAATGTTTGCTTGTTGCCCCGCCCCACGGTGACCTCACCCGCCTCTTATGGCTCCACCCTTGCAGGAGTTCGTGGAGAGCAGTCGGCGACTGGAGCGCGCGGGCGGACGTGGGCGGAGCCGGGTGAAAGAGGCGGGATCGGAGGGGGCGGAGATGAAGCCCATGGTGAGTGATCGCGGTGCCGGAGGGAGCGTGGCCAAGCGGAACTGCTCGTCCGCGTTGGGGGCGGGGCCACACTGGGGCGAGGGCGGGGAGTGGGAGGAGCTTCAGGAGTTCCAGGTGTATTGCCTGCTGGTGGGGGTGCTGGTGGACTGGGTGCTGGCAGAGCAGAGAGACCTGGTCCTCTGCCTCAGCGAAGACGTCGTCCTCTTCCTCTGCGTCTGCCTGCCCACCTCCACCCTCTTCCTGGTCGTCAGCCTGCTGCATGCGCCAAGCCCCGCCCCCCTCGCCGAGTCCGCCTCCAAGTCAGCCGCCATCACTACCGCGTGCTAACAACAGACTAACTCTGGATGAACACTAGTGCATGCTTCATCACCTCCATCATCATCATCATCACTCTGCTGCTTGAACTATTTATGTTTCCTTCTTTTTTATTTTTGTACTTTTTTATGGAGAATATTTTTATAAAAATCTTCCAGCAGCTCTGTGTTTGAGTCTCTGTTCCGCCTCAATTTGGTTGCCATGTTGCTTTCAACCCGACCAGGACTCAGCAGGCAGAAACTCTGAGGTCACTTCCTGTTGCTGGGAGCTGCTGACCTCCTTCTCCACAGCAGATGAGACTGAATCCAGATCACTGAGAACTGAAATCTGATCCGAACCAGAACCACCTTTAGATTGACTTTAACATAAAATTATTGGAAACTTGTTGCCTGCTGGGTCCTCCAGGAATTGACACATAACTTGCTGAGGGTTAACGAGCTGGTTAACCTCAATAACGAAATTCTTGACAAGATGGTTAATGATTAATTAACATGTAGCTTAACCAGTTGCTTAACGAGCTCCTTAAGCTGCTAGCCGGCTGATTAGCTCGTTCAGCTGCAGACAGGAAGTTAACCATGTCCACGTCTCCTGTTTCAGGCTCCAGGGACGAGTTCGGCTTGACCAAACTGGGACTTGTTGCAGAGACATTCCAGAAGTTTATTTTTAGTGTAACATGTTTACTATGGTTTCACTCCAGGGAAAACGACGATATTTTAATACGGAGCAACGTAACAACGTAACCAAGCACTTTATCTGGAAGCGGCTGATGCATTTTTTTGTAGTGATGTCCGTTTTTATAAAACTCAGATCCTAACGCCGTCCGGACTCTTCGCTAACCTCTCTGCTCTGTGGGCGGAGCCGGCCCACATGGAAGGGGCGGGGCCTGCGGACAGGTGGCCCAGCAGCCATTATGCCCTCAGAGAGTGGAGTCGGAGCTGCTGCGGGCTGTCGCCATGGAAATCACGTCCAGCAGCGGGGTGAGGTCATGTGACCGCGAGGACGCCCTCGCGTCGCCGTGGTGGGCGGAGCTTCCTGCAGCTGCGGCGGCAGCAATAACACCGGAACCACCAGTCTTCCTGCTTCTCGTCATCCGCTGCCTGACCCGGTTTCGGTTCTGAACCCGCCCAGTGTGACCCCCCAGTGCGACCCGGTTCTGGTTCCATTAGACGTTGTCAGACTGTTTGTAGCGTCGGTTTGTAACGGCCTGAATCTCTTTCAGAAATATGTTGACCTTCGACCCGAGTCCTAGTGCCCAGCTGGCTCAGCCTCTTACTGGGAGCAAACCAGTCCACCAGACGGAACTCAGAGCGGTTCTGGCACCGGCTCTTTGGATCTTTACTCCATCAGAGGTGCTCCGAGTCGGTCCGGTTCCCTCTGGAGGCGGAGCCTGGTCAAGCCCCGCGTCTGAACCCGTTTCCCATCATGCACCTCACCGTGGCGCCTGCAGGGGGAGCCCCTGAGCCGCTAGTTGCACTAAAGATGGAGTTCCTGCAGTGCCGGACGACGGAGTTCGGATTTCAGATTCACCTGAACGCATCATGACCGCTGTTGCTGGGCAGATTAGCTGAACAGTTTCACTCCAACACCAACAGGACCGGCTCGGTACCAGCGGTACGGAGCCGGTTTCTTCATGCAGAGGCCAGTATCATTTCAAAATAAAACAGGAAGTCATCATGACAGGGTTTCTACACAATAAAAGTCAGAAAATGTTTCAGTTTCTACACTTTTATCTAAAATATCAAAAAATAAATATTTAATATTTAGGTTTTAGTGACTTTGGTTTTTACTGCTGTTCCAATCTGGACCAGAGGTTCTGACCCAGGTCGGCTCTTAATAAAACCAACATTTTGAAACGGAAACCCAGTTATGACCAGAACATCAGGGTTCAGGAAGGATCCGGTTCTGATCCAAAAACCAGAAAAAGGCCACAAAACATTTCTGTTGGAGGAAAACTCTTCAGCCTCCATCCGACCAATCACAGCACAGGCTCCGCCCACTGAGGATGAGCGGGGCTCGGAGAGGTTCCGGTTCTGGAACTGGAGTCAAACATCAGAACGAACTTCTCTGCCTGGAAACCATCCGAACCCAACCGGACCGACCAAGTCCAGGTGTGCTGATGGAGTTCCGGTCCGGAGTTCCGGTCCGGAACGCCTCGATGCCATTTTTGTCAGACTGTTTGTTGCCTGTTGCCCCACAACCAGGTTGACTTTGTAAAGTTGCTGCAAAGAATGAACAGCAATGATTTGGCGTCGGTTTCTCCGCGTCATTCAGTTTCTTGGTTGATTTTTCCATGTTTTTCACCAAATATGGATTCATTTTCATCTGAATTTTTTCCGTTGATCCAGAACCAGGAAAAGAATCAATGATGAAAAAAAACGTCTTTGGCGACGAAAACCCAGCTTTTATTTTGATATGTCACTTCCTCTTAACAGCAAGCCAATTTGCATATTAACTAAAATTTCTCTATGAGCAAAATAGAAATAAAATGATAAACTGATGACAGAAAGTAAGTAACCATAGAAAATAATCAGCTTCATGTAAAATGGATTTTCTGACCTTTGAACCTGGTGATGCTCCATCATCAGAAACATTCCTGGATTCTTTCATGGATGTTTGAGAAATATGTTAATCTCCATGGCAACCATTCAGCTGCAAAAGCACCTGGTTGGACGTAGCTCCGCCTTCGAGGCGCAGCTCCTCCCATGACATGCTCTACATTTAGCTAGCTAAGTAGTTAGCTTGCTAACCAAATATTAAGCTTCAGCTACAAAAATATTAAATTTGAAAGTTAAATATTTAGCTTGAAACGTTCATATTACCAAATATTTAATACGAATCTGATATTTATAAAAACAGGAACATTCAAAAAATATGACAGAAAAATGAAGCACAAACAAGACAAAGCAAATTATTGCTGTTAATTTTCTTACTGTAACTTTGCAAATGGAACCTGCAGCCAGGTTGCCCTGCAACAGCTAGGTTGCCCTGTAGCCAGGTTGCTTTGCAGCCAGGTTGCTTTGCAACAGCTAGGTTGCTTTGCAGCCAGGTTGCTTTGCAACAGCTAGGTTGCTTTGCAACAGCCAGGTTGCTTTGCAGCCAGGTTGCTTTGCAACAGCCAGGTTGCTTTGCAACAGCCAGGTTACTTTGCAACAGCCAGGTTGCTTTGCAACAGCTAGGTTGCTTTGCAGCCAGGTTGCTTTGCAACAGCCAGGTTGCTTTGCAACAGCCAGGTTACTTTGCAACAGCCAGGTTGCTTTGCAACAGCTAGGTTGCTTTGCAGCCAGGTTGCTTTGCAACAGCCAGGTTGCTTTGCAACAGCCAGGTTGCTTTGCAACAGCCAGGTTGCTTTGCAACAGCCAGGTTGCCCTGTAGCCAGGTTGCTTTGCAACAGCCAGGTTGCTTTGCAACAGCTAGGTTGCTTTGCAGCCAGGTTGCTTTGCAGCCAGGTTGCTTTGCAACAGCCAGGTTGCCCTGTAGCCAGGTTGCTTTGCAACAGCCAGGTTGCCCTGTAGCCAGGTTGCTTTGCAGCCAGGTTGCTTTGCAACAGCCAGGTTGCTTTGCAACAGCCAGGTTGCCCTGTAGCCAGGTTGCTTTGCAACAGCCAGGTTGCTTTGCAACAGCCAGGTTGCTTTGCAACAGCAAGGTTGCTTTGCAGCCTGGATGCCCTGGTTGCAGGTTGACTGCAAGTGTGATTATTTTTCTGGTTTGTAACTGAAGATATTCTTGCTTTTGTTTCTCAGTTGGTTTTTATATCATTTCTTATGTCTCTTGTTTTATAAGAAAACAATTAAAAGCAAAATTTCCGACGGTTTGTGGTTTTTGTTCAGAAAACACGCCCAACTCGGCTAACTAGCTCACTAGCATCACCATGAGGACGGGTGTGATTTAAGGCCGGCAGTTCCAGAGAGTGACACCTGCTGGCCGGAAGTGGAAACAACAGGAAGCGTTTCTGCTGCACCATCTCCAAACAGATGATGTTTATAAACTAGAAAATTCCTGAAGAAATTAACCGGGGCCTGCCAAAGTGTGCCCGTCGGTTTTGGACCCAGCGTTCTGATGCTAAACATTAGCATCCATGCTAAAGAAAGCTGCAATGTCATCAATACCATGTGGAGAGTCACAAGGATGACTGACTGCATTGAGTATACTAAACATGGGTAATAAGTAAGGAAATAGCTAATACCTCATGCAAGGTAAAAGGCTAATGCTAATGCTCTGCCATGTTGTAGTTCTGACCTTCAGGAATTGTAGTTCTAAAGAGCAGCTCAGTCCCCCTCAGTAGTAAATGACAGTTCCACCATATTGAAGTTTTTATATTCACCTATGACCTCTTCTGTAGGCACTGAGTGTTCTGCCATGTTGTAGTTCTAACCTTCAGGAATTGTAGTTCTAAAGAGGAGGTCAACTGTCATGTCAGTGTGACACACAAGGAGAGACTTTATTCTAAATGCTTGAAGAAGTTAGTTTTTCTGACAGGCCTGAGAGAAATATTCAAGGTTTTATTTTGAAATTTTCATTCAGCTTAATTTTAAATATCCAAAATAATCCAAAGTTTAACAGTGGTTTTGTTAAAAAAGTCACATAATGCCCAAGAGAGCAATTACGTGATATAAAAGAATCTCAGGGCTTTTATTTTGAAATTTTCATTCAGCTTAATTTAAAATTTCCACACAAATACTGTGTGTAACAATGGTTGCTTAAAATCAGTGATAAAAAGCCCAAACACAATGTAATTCTAAAGGCCAGCTCATTCCTCCTGAGTAGTAACTGACAGTTCTGCCATGTTGTAGTTTTTATATTCACCTATGACCTCTTCTGTAGGCACTGAGTGTTCTGCCATGTTGTAGTTCTGACAATCAGCTCTGACCTCTTTTGTAGGCACTGAGTGTTCCGCCATGTTGTAGTTCTAACCTTCAGGAATTGTAGTTCTAAAGAGGTCAACTGTCATGTGTGTCAGGCAGAGACAGATTTCTATCTTTGTGAGACAGCTCAGTCAGTTTATATGGAAAAAGCAGCCGAACAACTCCTTGCCGTTCGGGAACCGTGATACGTATCGGAAAACCGTTTGAAGCGTATGAGAGAGCTATTTTTTGTCTCCGATAGTCCTGCAAATCAAATCTGTACCTCATTCACAGTAATTGCAGCGATGATATAAAAATG